TGGTCTGAAAGATTTGCTTCACGTTTTACTGTGGTTTGGTTTTTTTTCTAAGATTGCAATTTTCTGAGGTCCTTTTTTTATTAAACTGTCTTCAATTTGTTTAACATTAACGTAAAGGTACATAACTGGAAAAATGTTCTTTTCTTTGTCAAGATAACAGAGTACAAAACAATTATAGAAAAAGGTTAGGTTAGGTTAGGTTATGTTAGGTTAGGTTTGGTTAGGTTAGGTTAGAAAAAGGTTAAAAGTCTAGTCTTCGTTAAAGCAATTTTTTGTTATTCATAAAATTAAAATGAATCCAAAACTATTTCCTTCAAAATATAAAACTGCAGTCGGTTTAAACATGTTTTTTAATTTAGGAGCAATAACATTAGCATCCTTTGCAAACTTATTCTGTAGGGAAAGGAGGAGTAATGGTTCCCGAAGATTGATGGGGTCCATGCTCGTTGTGGATGTACTTTTTGCAATTAAGCCGTTTGGCTACTACTACTACTACTACTACTACTACTGAAAAACTCGCATGCTTCACTTCCACCTTCTATAAATGCTGGTGGGTGGACAGTCCCTTCAACTGACGAACTAAGTAGTACAAAACCGAAAGGACGGAAGGCTTTGTTCGGCCTCTTTTTATAAATCTTGAGACACTATTTTCTTTAAAAGTCATGATAAGCTCGCATGTATGACAGAAAAATTTGTGCTTAGAAGAATTATAAAAAAAAAAAACGTAAATATCAAATTAAATGAGAAAGACCAATACTATATCAGCAAGACAAAAATCAAGACCGAGACTATATCTGCAAGACCAAGACCAAGATCAAGGCCAAGACTAGAAGTATTTGGGACAGTCTTCGTCTTAGTATTAATTTGCTCATAACCATTTTACCTAAAAATTCAAAAATTACAACTCGGCCAGATGAAAACACAATATCATGTTTGATTTAGATTCTCTCTCTTATCGAAATTTCTGAAACTATTCGGTTAAGGTTTGGTTAGATTTTTCGGTAGTTCTTTTCTAGTAGTTTTTTCGATAGTTTAAAATACAGTTACGGACATCCGTAACATCCTTTCCCTGCACTACAATCACCCATGGGTGATACTATGTATGAATATTACTCCTAATACATATGGTAATCAGCAAATGGTTATAATAAAAATACAATTTTAGTATTGCTTGTTCTAAGGTGCTCTAAGACGAAGCTAACTAATTTTTTAAAGCTTTATTTGCTATTTACGATAAATTTATAAATCTTGAAAGTATATCACCGTAGAATATTCTTATCATAAATATCAGATGTGTCTAACTAATATTATCGTTATTACAAAATGGGTTTGAAGGGTAGTATGGGTCCATTACTCAACTGGTGAACCCCATTGTTGTACATACATAATTATATGGTAAACTTCTTCGTTGCTAAATAATAATTTATTTATTCTAAATTGAAAGGTAATAATTAGTACGTTGCATAAATTATTTTGTGCTTCATCGGAACAAACTATGCTCCATCGGAGCTAACTTAACCTAACCTAACCCCAAACTAATCTAACACAACTAAAAATTTTTTGAAGTGATTTGTTTTTTATATGGAAAATAAATATTGTTAAATTAATATAATTGGGGTTTCATACAAAAATCCCTCCGAACTCCTCCAAGAACACATTCTTAGTGTTCTATAAACTAAACAATTAGCGCTATTTTTTGCCAATTTTTTTAATGATTACCATTACTCCAAACAGTAGGGTAATGTAACTCCATGAACAGGGGCGCCTCGTGAATTTGTGAGGCCCTGGACCAATACTACTTAAGGGTCTTACTAATTACTCAACTAATTGTCATTTTGTCAAAAAAACGTTGTCTATAATGATGTAGGTACAAGGTATAGGAAAAAACATAGAACAACAAAATATTTTAACAAATTCTAACAATAACAAAGTCAATTTGTCACTTTGATGGCGAGAACAGGAGTGCGGGAAAAAGAACAAAATTACGACGAGCGATAAGCGGCGGGAAGTACCTCGTAATAGACGCACATGCGAGAAAATTCACCGACCGAAAACAAGCGACAGAGAATTCTCTTTTGCGTTCGATAGACGCGCACACGGATTGATTAATCGCAAGGTTGCCAACCTTATGATCGGATGTTTTCAATTTCAGATACTTTTCTTCACGATATCGTTTTTTGTTTTCAACTGAGTCTAGGGGGTCTTTTGTATCCACGGAGCCCTTGGCTGCAGCCCCAAAAAACCCTCAAGTAGATCCGCTCCTGTCAATGAACAATTTTTTATTTTCAACGATGGAATTTGTTTTTTATCAGTTGTTGTATGAGTATTATGTATCTCAATAATTTTACATTATACACTTAGTTCCTAGGTATATTAAATGGAAAATTTCTTATGAAAGGCCTCTTTTATGGTTGATTTATTATAATAATAGATATTAAAATAGGCATAATGAATTGATTTTCAAAACGGCGATTGTAAACCAAACGGTTTTTCGTGATACCAAGGAGAAGAACAAAGAAATAAGAGCATTTGTCACCAAGGCTTTATGGGACATGATTTTCAAGAATCCATGTCTTGATTTTGTCTTTATTTAAGAGTAGAACAACACAAGATTACTAATGTAAATATCTAAACAAAATCTAGTGACCCTTTTTAATCATTTATTAAGCAGAAACACAAAAGCAAATAATAACATGAAATTAGATCAATGCAATGGTGACCGTTCTAGGTACACAGTCACATAATTAAAAGATCAAAAACTGTGACACCTCAATTAGATACTTATTGCTACTCTTTTACTATACTTATCGTCAATGTTTAGAAATATAAAGACTCTTGAATTAACGCAAGAAATTATGACCGAAAAATCAGGGAAGATAAGATAAATTAATGACTAGATTTTAATATTCAAAGGCAGGAGTTTTTTTTTGTAAAACCCTATCATCATAAGGTTGTCAGTTCTAAGACTGGACACGCACCTCCAGTCTTTCTTATCCTGATCTAATCTTCGCATTTCCCTAAAACTAGAACAACCCACATCCTTAACTATTTGCGAAAACTAATCTAATCTAGGTCTACCTCTACTTCTTTTAACTCCTGTTTCTGCCCCTAATATGCCTTCATGCCTGAGAAGGTGTTAGTATTTCTTATTGACTTCCATAGAGTCCTCTGTCCTTCTATTTTTTTTAATACCTCTTCATTTCTAACCTTCTCTATTCACGGTATCCTCATCATTCACCTGTAACACCACATTTCGAACGCTTCTAAACTTTTATTTTCCGCCGTGCTCACCGTCCATGTTTCGTACCCGTACAGTGCCGCGATCCAAACATACACCTTTAACAATCATTTTCGAATTTCTAGGTTAACTTAGCATGGAAGTGACTTATTTTTATTGAAGGCGACTCAACCATGCGTTATCGTCTGCTTTATATTCCTACTATTCTTTCCGTCCTGACTTATCTTACTTCCTAGGTACCGAAAATCAGCCACTTCGTTTTTCGTCTCCTACCTTTATATTCGCTCTTTCCCTACTTCTTCTTCCTTTCCATACCAGTACATTTGTTTTATTTCTATTTATTTTCATACAATACTTTTTTGTCAATACAGCTTCCATTTTATTTAAAGCTATCTCTAACTCCTCCTTGCTCTAGATGCTAATGCTGCTACATCATTTGTAAATCTGAATATACTAATCTTTTTCCCCTGTATATCTATCCCTACAGTTGTAGGGATAGGTAATGATGTTGATCGGGTCTTCGATGTACAGATTAAAAAGTAGCGGTAACAGTGTACATTCCTGTCTGGCTCCCTTCCTAATATTTACTTCTTTACGTTGTAGCCCTAGCTCTATAACTGCCTGTTGCTCTTTTTACAAACTAAGTATCACTCATCTATCTCTGTAACTCAATCCAATTTAACATCTTGTCCCACTTAACATTGCCAAACCATTTTCTAAATTTACAAATCCTATGTACGCACTCTTTCCTTTTTTATATTGTTTTCTCTATTGTTACCTGTAAAGTTAGAATGACCTCCGGCGTTCCTCTATTTCTTCTACACCCAAATTGATCACAATACAATTCTAGTTAAGACTTTTGATGCATGAGAAATTAAGCTAATTGTTCTAAATGTCACTCATCTAAAAAATAAAACCCTAAGTGTGACTGAAATTAAAACTACGATTTGTTTGCAAGGACAAAACTAAAAGGGTGGAATATCCTAAAAAGACTTCGTGAACAATACCAAAATTTTAATTCACAAGGCAATTGATTGACATTTGTCTTGAACACTTCCACAAATTCAAAAAGGATTTTAAAGGACAACACTAATGAAAAACGGATAAGAAGCAAAATTGTAACGCGTCCTAAAAATGCTTATTTAGAAGATAGAGAAAATTAACATTTATTATCTAAAACTAAATAAGGACACCAAAATTGCTGAAATGCAATACTAAAAGAGTCATGCAAACAAAACCCACAATTAGTAGTTGGGGCCAAGACCAAAATTCGATTATAATGTGGTCATCATTTTTATCATATTCAGTCAAGTCCATAATAATATTTTCAGTTCGTCCTTTTATGACATAACTGAGTAGGACGTGATTCAATTCAGGTCAGTGATTTATTTGAATTAATAAAATCAACCACAAAAAGGAGATCAAGCAGAACATCGTATGAAATATTACGTTTTCGTCTCAATAGAGAACCCACTGAATTAAATATTCGAAGATATACAACCTCCCACGAAATATTCAAAATAAGTGACCAAAAAACATCAAAAGGCGCTACTATGAAGTCGCCGTTCTCGGAGAACACCGATCTAATTGTATCTGCAAAGAGAGTCAATTACACGGTACATGTACCCAGGGCAAAAAAATTAATTCAACTGGAACTTCCACTGTAGCAAAAGAGAAAATTTGTTCCGAATAGCAATTAGGAAAGACTTTCCGTATATAAACAGAAACTGCCACGATCTGCTCCCAGTCTTCCGTAAACCACCGCATCGTCGTCGTCAGACCGTCTTTGATTGTAGTCCACGATTTGATCGCGTTACGATTACCGTGGGTAATGTTTTACCGAAAAGGTAACCTAGTGCCGTTTATTTTTATCTACGTCTTTGTGGTCAGCTTTTGCGGACCCGCACGTGGTGCCAGCATTCGCAATGGACCACTCGAAGACATGGAAGTGTCGGAATCGCAATCGCGAGGAGTGTATATGGACGCCCTTACGCAACCGTATCTTTACGCGCTCGCGGGACTTCCCCTTGAAACGCCAAGTTTTTATAGTGATGACGTGGAGGATTCGGTGGTCGAGGGTAGTGAACCAGTGCATCAAAAAACCTTAGCAAAACCTGTGGCGTTCTCGTACTATAAAAATAACGAGATTCCCGACTTGACCGCGGCTGCAACGGGTGGTAAAGCAGCTCCTAGGGCTGGCCACCATCATGAAAAGGGTGGCGGCAGGAAACATTATTCCGAACACCATGCAGCACATGGTGAAAAAGGACATAAAGGATACAAAGGATTTCACGAACACGATAAAGGTGCAAAAGGACATCACGACAAAGAAAGTCATTCTGGACATTACAGTGATAAGGGGGGCCATAAGAAGTCTCATCATCACGAAGATGGCTACCACGGAATCCACCACAAAGGAGACAAAGGACAAAAGGGAGCTAAGGTAAATTAAAAACTTGTAATGAAAATATACTTATCTAAAAAACATCAAGTTTTATGCAAATGTTCACCTATTATTCTTGTTTTCTTTTCTTTGCTACTTGTTGCACAATTTAGAAAAATGGTGCAGAAATACTAAATTAATTTTGTATAAATTTGCAAAAGTTTTGTGCAAATTTTATATTTTTCATTGTAAAATTCAGAGAAATGTCAAGTCACGCAGTGCCTAAAGTTTAAAAAGATTTGTTTATGTAACGTTTAAATCTGACAATTATTTAGCTTTTAAATTGTTAATTTCTGTCTACCTACAATACAAAAAGTACCTTACGTTATTAAAAGCTTTTTACCTTACCACTAAATGATAGTGTCCGGCAATGCCTTTCTAAACTATTTTCAACTGAATCATTTCCTGATTCTCATTTCTTTAAACAAAACCTAATGTTAGCTGGAAATAAAAACTATTCCTTTCGCCTAATCGATTTTCTACACCGGTCTCTGAACGTGAACAGAATGCTTTGGACTTTACCGTCCTTATACAAAAACGATGTTTTTATATTACCTACGATGATTTTCATACCGAAATCGTACAAATACTCTTGGTTCAATTTTTTAGTACGAAGAAAGTGGAAAACATAGCAAAGGACACAGCACAAAAGGTGGTCACAATGTTCATAAAAACGACGTATTTGAAAAGAAAACCGTATTCTACGACGAACATCATGAAGGAGGAGAGAGTGAGAAGCATGGAGGTTTCCATTCAGAGAAGAAACACAAAAAGGTACACATTTACCCACTAAAGACCAAGTTCTTTTCTATTGGTATTTATAAACTGTTATATATATTTTTAGGGCGCTAAGAGGAAAGGTGGACGTAAGAAGGGAGGTCATCACGAAGCTCATCATGGTAAGAAGGGTCATTATGACAAAGGTGGACATTACCACGAGAAGAAAGGCCATAAGAAAGATGGTGGTCATAGTTCCCATCACAGTCATAAAGAGAAATATGGAAAGAAAGATGGGCGGGAAAGTCATTCCAAGTGGGGTCATAAGAAAGGGGGAAAGAAAAGTGGGGCCCAAAAAACTCACCATCATTCTCCTCTTGCTGAGCAGCAGCAGCTACTTATGGTTTCACCACAACACCAAATGGTCGAAACAACAAACGTACCAGTTGCCAATCAAGACGTTTACGTCACTTCAGCTGCTTCTCCCGTTTCTATTCATCAAGAAATGTATCAAGTAGATCCCAACAGAGGACCACCAATGAATCAAATATACGAAGTATCTCAAGCAGTAGCCCCTAAACAAACTGAGGGACCCATTGTTTCTCACCAACAAGTATACGTGCAAGATGGCGACAACGTATATGTCGCTAATGTTGAAAACAATCCCACTGAGGAAGCCGTTCCACAACCAACCGAAACTGTGGAAGTTAAACCACGAGAAGAAATTGTAGTAAATGAACCAAGTAGAAGTGATAATTACTATCCTCCAGTGTATCGTGGGGTAGATGTTTACCAAGAGGCCAAAGCACATTTCGATAATATTGATGGAAGAAGTAGAGAGGAAGAACAAGAAAGAGATGGTGATAATAATGCTAGGGAACGTCTATCAGATGAAGACGCTAGTGATTCTATTAGATCCGAAATTAAGAAAGCACCGCCAAGGAAGAGACTGCTAATAGCATTACATGACGCTCGATAAAGCTGGCATTAGAAAATTTAGGGTTTTTCTAATTTTATACAACAAAGGCTGACGTAAAGTCAATAAAAGACTCTACTTTAGAAATAATTCGTTAGGAGCGTTTACAAACAACGGTAGATCATGATTAGTGGTCTCCTACATCATTTTAAATAATGTATGAATTAAATTATTTTTTTTATTCCATTTTGTACATTAAAAGATACCTTTTTAAAAACAATACATCTAAGTATCAAATTTTTAATTTGCAGCGATCTATTCTGAATTGTGGCATTTGGTGTATTAATTATTATTTTGTAAATAGTGTCATTAAGACCATAATAATCATAAACCTTATTGTGATATACTTATATATGTATGGTAGTCTGAGTTGTATTATACACAATTTATGTCTAGATATTTGTAAAACGAATTGCTTATATGTATTTAGAAAGAAATGTTTTTACTTGCTCGGGTATAAAATGGTATAGGGATTTATTACAACTTTTATAAAACCCGGTTCTAAAAATATCTATAGTTACCTACCATAAATCGCTAATTCGAGAAAAAAAAACATTTTATTTTCATTAAGAAAAACAAAAATATATTAACAAAATGAATTTCAATTTACCTATCGGTACAAAACTAATGATTTGTTTTATAAACCCAATCCGGACTACGTAGGTACGTATTATACAACATAGTTAGATTAAATATGTAATGTAATAAGCCTTTAAAGAACTGCAAAAACATCTTTTTCCTTATTTGTTGTAAGAAATCCACTTGGTTTATATAATACCGAAATAAATTAAAAAACTTAATAGAAGGTTGTTTTACCTTTGCTTTATTTGCATAACGTACAATATGAAAAAAGTAATGAAATAGGTACTTATGCATAAAACACCAAATTTCTCAGCTTATGAAACGGATATTATTTAACTTTAGAGAAAATTTATTGTGATATAAAAATAAGTCAAGAAGAATGAAGAAAAAGAAAATATCAAATTATCACAATAATTATAATCTTCCAGTGTGTTTACCCGCGTTTGCAAGAGCGCGAAATTTTTCAACGTAACGTTGGCGATACTGTTAAACGTTGTAGTGGCAATAAATTTACCTTCTTCCTGTCACTTTCTAATAACAGTTTTTGCTCTGCTTTTTAAGTTAGTAAATGAATGTAAATTGCAGTGTATTCGTAAACAACTTTTTAGTAGTCAGAGGAAGCATAATTTTTTAAAAAGACTAAGAAAAGATCCAATTCGTTATGTAATCCTATTAATTCAACCGATTGAATAACTTTGTTTCTTTAATCGTTTTATTAGAATGGATCATTTGGCTCAAGATTTATCTGTAGCTCTAGAAGAATCTGAATCTTGTGGTCCCGCCGCTTACGAAACAGCAAAAAAATGGGGATTCAGACGAAGAACACGGTCTACTGGAAATTTACGTAAGTTTACAATAAACTATTCATTTATTTGATTGTTTTTTAATTAGAATATTTCTTAGATTTACCAGCTTGTAAAGCAGGTGATTATCACTCTGACGACAGTTCTAGTAGTACATCTGAAATTCGAATTCAACAGTTAGCAAAAAATAAATTAAATCAATCAGATTCAGATGAACTGTCGCTTAGGTTGGCTGTTACAAAAGCAGTCAATAAATCCCATTCACTAAGAATGAAGCATCAGATAAATAGTTTCTTGCGAGGACGTTATAATAGATTAGGTAGGTAATTTCATAAACTACCTATATTAATGCCACTAGTATTATTTCATATTTGCTCTGTTTATGTTTGTTATACAGGATTGCCACTCAGTCATAGTTTAGAAAGTGATTCATTAAATGAGCATTCTCCAGCACGCCCCATGAGACGTAAAAGGAAACTTAAAAGAATGAACATTGATGAAAATCCTGTACCTCCCTGTGGTAAAAGAAAAAGGCCACAGCGACTGGATGCTGTTGAAAACTATCGTTCTCTAAGAAACAGCTTTAAAATTAAACCTTTACATCCTAGTATTACCAATAAAATACAACAGTACTATCAGAATGAAATAAATGAAGTGAGTAAATTGAATTGATTATTTAAAATTAAAATATATGCAAAGTGGATTATTTTTTTTTAGTGTAATATGATGGAAACTCAATGTATCAATGATAATTGTGATGTTGCAAGCGAGAGCAGCTTAAGTTGGAGTGGTGGAGAAGGGCATGAGGGAGATGATGAACTGACTGATTGGGCTCCATCAATAGACAATGCTATTGATCAAGCATTTTGGAATGATATTGATCCCAGAGAAATTCGTGCAGGCATGTTATTTTCTTTATATTTTAAAACACTTGATTATCCCTTCAAATTTCAATTTATGTAAGTGTTCAGGAAGTTCTTTTATAGTTAAAGTTATACTGTCTTCTCAGTTTTCAGTAGCTAACTTTGAGCAAGGTGGGCTAATGCCAAAGAACCTCACTCATCAATTTAGATGCATTATTATTATTTATCTGAATAATCAGTCTGTTAAACAAATACAAAATTAACTTCTAATACGAATACTGTACAACTTATCTAGATTTTATGACAAAAACTATAGCCAGATATGCCTACTTTATTGTTTGCTCCTCATTACACACCAGGGGTTAATATTCAAAAAATCCTTTCTTTGTGCACTTTTGTACCCTCTCTGGAATACATTTCCAATTTTCATCTTTAGTGGTTTAGACAGTGTGCTATCTCTCAATTGGTCAAAAAACTGTTTTATGTGTACAATAAACAATAAGTTCAAACCATAATGTTTTACATTGATAATACATGATAGGCTGTATTGTATGACAAAAAGCGAGTTGCATATTTTAACGATTGCTTCATCTATTTTTAATGTAAACGGTATTTTTAGGATGCAGAAGACTTCGCGAAGAGAGGCCAAGTTACAGCATTAGCACAGGAGCAAATGAAAGGGTTGCTAGGTTTCTTCAAGATGCCACCAAGTCAGAATTGCATTTATATGGAGTTGAACGGGAAAAACTGGGCCAACTGGCTGCTCTTTATTCTCTGGATATGTGGTTTGAAGAGCCTGGTTGTTCACTTTTACGTAAAACAAAACGCACACCATGCATGCAACCTGCCCAACGATATCATAGCGGATTCAGTGCCGCATACAAGAAGATCAGGACGCATAACCATGTCATATCGTAAAAAAGGAATGAAACAATGTTTTTATTGTTTATACCAAATGAGTGTTCGTAATTGTTCGTCAATTTTCCGTAATGTTCACTGTGGCATCGTGTCAGATTAGCGAAAATTTTAATCAAGATATTAGTGTCAATTGGCGTTTCGTGACGTTATTAAAGCTTCATAGCCGATTTTATTATAATAATTATTTTATCGTAGAACAAATTTATAAGCATTTTTTGGTGTCTAGAAGTATGATTAAGAAAAACCTAATCCGAAATTGTGGGATTTGCATATCTAAAATAATCTAAGGGGTGGGTAAGTATTGTAAAGAACATGCTATGGTTTAAAGGATAAACACATTCCTCACAGTATTTACATATTTACAATTTAATTTGAACTGTTTCTTTAAGTAAATTATAACACTTGTAATTTCCATAAATATATTCATTAACTCATAAAATAAATTCAGATAATTGTATTTTCACAAACAAGTAAAAGAAATTAGTGTATATACTTTTAAAAGAATTTTGGATAGCCAGAGTTAGTAAATGAATGTAAATTGCAGTGTATTCGNAATAGCGAATGTGTGTAAAATTTGGATGAAAGAATGTGTAGGTATATGTAGTATATACCTCCATATTTTTAAGGAAAAATTGAAACTGAGCAAAAAGTATTAATAGTCTTGGGTTATAGAAATTAACAGAAAAAACAAAAATATCCTATTAAATTTTCATGAAACAGACGATCAGACCTCACCGTCATACCTTTTCACGTTTAGTTTCCTTTTAATATAAAAATACTGAGTGGAATGATTGGTAGTTTATCGTTGATTAATTTAATAAATTAAATCAATAAAAATATGTACTAGTGAAATAGAATAAGTGCTTCAAACATTTGCATGTTACATTAAATGTACCTATTATTAAGCCGTATTTTCATGAAATTTAAACAAAATTATACTAGAAATACATATCTATCTAAAAAATTGAATACTCATGCAATAACATTTTAAAAGTAGTTTAATGTAACTTTCAACAGTTTTTGTTTTTATGTAAAATTACACCAACTAAAAACGAAATAGAGTGGTATGCATAACGTTGAATGCTTAGTATTTTTAAAGTAGCCATTGAATGTGAGTAGAATTCCAAACGTGGGAGTGTCTTCTCTATTCCTACAAATAGGAGCCTCATTACACTACTAGCAGACTCGTGCGTATAAGCATTCACCTTTTGCGAAGTTAACGCTTCTATATTTAAGTAGGAACTACTACAAAGATGTACGCCCCCTTATGCATAAGGTAGTGGATAAGGTATCAAGAAAAGAGAATAGATACTCAAACCTTTGAGATTCTACTTATATTTATGTATTTCAAATGGAGTGACTACTTTAAAAATGTGAGACTACACTAAATACTAAACTTTATGCACACCACCCATATGCTCAATATGTTGGTGTTTAAGGATATGTATTGATAAAAATCGATATTTCTCATCCGTGGATACATAAATGGTCCAAGTTATCTGTTAATTATAATGTGTTGTAACTTTTTAATATTATGTATATACTGTAATAGAAACATTTTATAGTTTATGTTTGTTATAATCTAATTTATTTAAGATTCCGAGTGATACTTGCCAGTTGTGTTTCGGTTTTTTTTTTATTGTGTGTTGGTAAGGATGAAGTGCCTTCCAGTCGATCGTTAAAAATGAATTAATTGTAATTCCAAATAATCTTTCTATGCTATTTAAGCACAACAAATTGGAGGGGCACACCGATGGTTGAACGATTCCATACCTTAGTAAATACATTATTTACCATAAATGTTTTCGAAATATATGTATAAGGGGCCGTTCAGGAAGTACGTCACTCAGAATTTAACCTTTTCGGACCCCTCCCACCCCATTCGTCACGCCATCACACAATTTCAGCGACCCCCTAACTAATACTACGTCACAAAAGCTACCCCTCCCTCTAAAAATGATTTCTTGGGATTAAAGATAACAATGAGAGTTACTTTCTATCGCAATAAAAATTTTATGATCTGCCAAGTTAAGAAAAAAAAATAAAATTGAACTGTGAACGTCACATTCACGTAGACCTCTTCACCCCTGACCTTTATTTCTAAACGTATTTTACGAACGGTCCCTTTAATTTCTTTAATTCATTATGTTGAAGGATGACCTAACCATGACACTCAAAATAATTAATTTAAAATGGTATTATTTATTTATTACAGCAACTTTTCCTTAACATGTCAAATATGTACTTTAATCGCTAGAGTTTCAGATATTGTAATCGTAAGATACAATTTATATGTTTTTTATGTCAGTACCTTACTGGTAATGGTAATTCTTTATAAAATACGTTGTAACCAAATGATTTTCGTGTTTTGGTTTTTTTATTCGCTTCTGAGAAAATGGTCAAAATGTTTTTTAATATTTAAGTATTTTTATTTCAATATGGATTATGCATTGTATGAAATTTTGTCTACTTATAAAGCATCGTATCGATTCTTTTTTTCAAAAAGAAAAAAGACATAATGTAGGTCAATTTTTTGTAATTGAGACAACTTGTGATTTTAGTATGTGTTCTGTGAATATCTGCAATAAAAGATACAATGTACTGTGCATCCTTAGCAAATTTAAACAATAAATAGTATTAAATTTATTAATTTGTTTTAATATCCCCATCTACTGATATTTACTGCTACCTGCGAACTATTTCCGTTTGACAAAAGCATTACGAAGGTATCTTACCTGTCAAACTGAATCTACGACACACCCTATATATCTAATAGGCACCTAAACCAAACGAACGTTAAGTTCATTCATCGAAACTAAAGAAGTTGATGCAATATCAATTATATTTATCACCATCAGAGATGTGATTTATTTCAAATACTTGTATTTCAATTGAAAATACAAAATAAAAAGTATCTATTTTTACTTTGCATTTAAATACTTTTTTGAGAAAAGTATTTTGTATTTTATTTAAAATACTTTTCCAAACGTATTTTCTCTTTGTAAAATGCAAAATGCACTTTTGCTGTTAATAGTTTTGCTAGTATCACTTATCAAACTATATAAAATGATGAATTTATAGTTGGCCACATTGGCCATTGAAGGTATTAGAAGATTAAAAAGAGGACAAAGAGGCATTCCATGAATGTCTTCTAATTCTTTAATTGAAGAGAGCCCAAAAAATTTTAAACTCTTTGCAAATGGATAATCTAAAATATTAGATCGATATTAGGATTATAA